CTCTGCATATGCTAAAGGAACTGTCTCAACAGACCCCTAGTAGCAACACCCTGTTAACGTAGGTATCCAGAGGATACATAGGTGGAGTGGTGCCCAAGGCGGAACTGGGGTTTTAAACCACTCAGAAAGAGCATGAAGCTGCTGCGCGCAGCTCTTACCATACAGGATTTTAGAAAAGAACGCAGAGTACTATCGTGCAAACTTACCACAGTGTGGATTTTAGAAAGTGTACAAAGACTTCACGTGCACACTTACCATAACATGGATTTAAAAATACTGTTCTAAGGGGTTCTCGTGGCACTCTGAAAGAGCAGCCCATAGATGGAAATGGTGCATCCCAAAACGCTATGTTTGAGAAGTCATCAACTCAATCTAAGGCTTATAATGCTGGAGTGGCTAGCAGTAAATCTGTAGCTGAGGGAGCAACACCCCCAGTTCTCAAACGAGAGGAGACTCGACCTGCAGCATGTTCCAAAGCTGGAGCAGCTAGCAATAATTTACTTAGCTGTGGGAGCAACACACCCAGCTCTCAGCGAGAGGGGGGCTCGATCTACAGCGCGATTGTTAGAATCAGAAGGGTAAGTGTACTGCAAGCTAGCCAAAAAACTCATCGCATCAGAGAGGCAGAGGAAGGGCCTAGTTCCCCTGATGCTGCTGGTTCCAGGTGCTCTGGGAAAAACAGAGAACTCAACTCTCACGTGAGAGGAGAACTCCAAATTCAGAAGGAGTAGCATGCTCATAGGTAACCTTTTGATAAAAGGGGAGCACTGCTCAGCACTACCACGAGAACAGCCCATGGAGCGAGGAATCCAACTCCTCAGAGAGAATTAAATGCTCGAAAGAAAACACCATGCTCACAATAACCCTCAATGGTGAGGGGAGCGATACTTCCAGAGTGTGTCGACAGAGACACACTACTTGAGTGGAGCCCAAGGTACCGGGGTCTAAACCAACTCAGAGAAAGGGATTGAGGCTCATAACGCGTAACCCTTACCATACAGGATTTCAGAAAGTGGGCAAAGCATAACGTGCACACTTACCACTTATGTGGATTTTACTAGCAGAGGCGGCCTGCTTAGTAGCACGGAAAGCGAGATCCGTGGTGCGGCGCACTCAGCTACCTCATCAGGAGAAAGGCCCTCGCCTTTATCCAGGTCTTTCAGCAGGTCAGCCTGATATGCTTGGAGCATCACCATCGTGTGCAATGAAGTGCCAGCCCGACCTGCTGCGGCTGCGTATGCCCTGACATTCGAGCGAGATGTCAAGGAGGGAGTCTTAAGAGAGGACGTCTCACCCATAGAGAGATAGCTGGCCAGCGTCTCTCTATAGGGGCATCTTCTCATAACCGCTTTTGCGCATCGTCTCGATGTTGGCATAACTCGTATGCTGGAATCGATGGATGCATGAGGAAAAACGGCCTCTTCCATTCCTTCTCAATCTCTGTATGGAAACAGGAAGGCTCACTTGAGCTGGAGGGTTATGGCCAGAAAAATAACGTTCATCGAGATACCTCGCGACGTCACTTTCTTCGCCCGCTTCATGGCAAATAAAGCCTCGCCATGGCACGATCCATAACTTTCAAAAGCACATCATATGCAGGGCAGGATTGAGAAGGCTCAGCCTCAGCTTCTTTGTCCTCCTCAGACATTTCCTGCTTTTGCTGGGCTGATCCCAGCAGAGCACTGACCCCTGGATCAGACAATGTTAATGAAATAACATCATCCTCCAGCGGCTCACTCTCGTGCACAGCCGATGATCGCGAGAGGGAAACCCCTCTTCAAACTCATCGGCCAGATCCACCTGCGATCCCCACAAGCTCATTCCCTTCCGTGCCTCAGCAGCGGCGGGTCCTGAATCGCGGGAAGCAGATGGCTGCCCCTCTTTCCTTGAAAAGAGAGACAAACGAGAGCAGAGTTTTTTACTTGGAAAAACGCTTGCAGTGCACGCCGATTGCCCCCTCGGAGACATCGCGTGCGTGCTCTTCGCCCAAACAAGTCATCTTCTTCGATGAAGAAGAGGATGATGTGTTCTCCCGGCTCCTATTTATACTATAGTCGCACCGGTAGTGACGTCATGGCTGTCGCCGGCCAACGTGTTGTTGGTGTTTTTTCAATGTATGCTTCAGACACGGGTCACGACGAGGCGTTTCCCATAGCGACCCCTAGAGGACGCAGTTCGAAGTTCCCATGAAAGGGAACTAGATAAGACACACATGCTGTTCTGAATCTTTAATAAACAGTAATAAGGTTGCTTTAATATTTCTATTGTAAATTGATCATCAAATGCAGTAAAAGTACATTAATGATGAAGTGGTGTCTGAATCTCTGATGTGAACTGATGACAGTATGAATAATCATGAATGTGACTGAGATCAGCAGAATGAAACAGAGGCTGAATTGACTCAGAATGCTTTATTTTTCTGTCTGCGCTGATTTAACACTCGATTCACTAAATGAATTCTGTACAAACACTCACAGTATCGCTGCTGAACACAGTTGATCCGGCTGTAATTCCAGTCTTTCAGGAGCTTCAGAGCTTCAATCTGCTGCTTGATCTAGAAAATCTTCATCAGCATCTCTTCTTCTGAAATGATGGTCTTTTCTGCTTTATTAGGTCTCCACGAGCACAACAGCTTTATATGACAGGAGCGACACAGCAGCCTCTGAGTCTCAGCTCTCACTCAGATATCTCTAGAAATAACATTGTTTCATTCAGAAATGCACATTAATATAGTGCTTTATATCCATGATCAATCCTAAGCACGCAAACTAAAAGTATTTTATAAATAAATGCTCTGGTGGTGCTGTGGAGTGTCTTAAGATGATTTATTTGATCACAGAATGTCGCTGTCTGCCTCGCGAAGTTTGGAACAACTTTGATCAAAATTATCTTAATAAATGATCTTGCACAATGGAATGACTTTTCTCATTCTCATAATCTCATAGTCCTCATAATCTCAGCACCACAATGAGAATCAGATGAAATCCAAACAGCAGTGACTGAGGAAAGACAGCTGTCCATCACTGCATTCATACTGCAGGTCAGCCAAATCATCTTCAGACATCTGCTTCCTTTAAGACTCCTCGAGGGAGAAGAAAACAATCAAGAGAAATCTCTCCGGGGCAAAAGTGGTAGACATCAAACGGCTGAAATATATTCGAGATAAAGAAAGGCTGGACAGTCTTTCAATAGTGGTGCAACTGGAAGAAGAAAAG